ATGTACTTTTGGGATCAGGTTCATCGATGCACCTTGCTCGATTTCAGGCTTGAACCGGGGTTCATCGATGTACCTTGCTCGATTTGAGGCCTGAACCGGGCTTCATCGATGTACCTGGAGGCGCCATGTACGTTGATGAATGGGGTTGCTGAAGAGCACTTGTCCGGCCAACCCTTTTTTTGTCCATTGATGAATCTGTTTTTCTGAAGAGTTATCATCAATGTACCTGGGGCCGCCATGTACATTGAAATGACTAGCCTATGGGGGGGTGGCATTGATCAACTTGTTGAGTCAAATTTTGGGCATCAACATTGGCCCCTGCCATATAGAGGTTTTCAATGGACATGGGGGCGCCAGGTCGGTTGATGAAGCTTTGACATTTTGAAAGTCTCATCAATGCACTATCATTGGACGGCACGTTTCATGTGACGTCAGTTCTTCTCAAGAGCTGGGATTGCTCTACCCTTTGGCAGGGATTGCCTCTTTCCCATTTGCTTGCTTGGCCATGCCTGCGCTTTGCAAGATGTTGACGGCCGCGAGCGCAAAGCTGAAGCCTGAAGGCGAGGTCAAGGTTGAACCCAGCTCTGCGACTCCGTCTCCTTCCAAGAGGCTTGCCACTGAAATGGACAAGAAGATCAAAGACATGAAGGGTGACACAACGTTGGTCAAGGACTTCCATGTTTTTGTGGATCACAGTCAGTCCCCCCAAAGGATTTGGAAGAACATGAGTACCAAGTTGGGGAATTGTGAAACAGACCGGTATTGTCTTGATCCAGGAGATTGTGGACCACCTCACCCAATTCATGACCGACGGGACGAATCTGGATTGCTTACACCCGGTGCAAGACGCCCTGGATGCTGTGTGTGGTCCCCATGGTCACCAATTTTCAATTCAAATGGAGAATTGGTTTGAGGCTTACGCCGAGCACCGTGGAATCAAGGAAAAGGCTTTCGCTCCCATGAGCTCCTGTGTTCAGGGCTTAGTTTTTGTCTTTCTTTGAGAAAGGAAACCTCCACAAGCCCAATGATTGACACTCTGTGAGATAAGGGTATCACCTCGATCCACAAGCACAAAGTCCAGTCACCCACTTGCATTCGCGTTGGCCCAGGTGGTTGACCCCTCAAACCTTGAGGACACGATCAAGTTGCCCTTGACATCTTTGAAGCCACCTGACTTAATATGTATCAAAGACGGTATGACCACCCATGAAACCTGTGTGTGTTGAACATGTTGAATATGGTCAGTGGCCTGCATGTGCAAATATCAGGTTTGATGTTCCTGAAGATGGCTTGCCCTCCATCGAAGACTGGGTGACGACATGCACGTCGATCCTACTGGATGGACTGGAGCTGCAAAGGGAGCCTTTGGACGTTTGTGTCGGGGGCCCCGAGTTGCAAGTCAAGCCTTGAAACCACAAATCTTTAAATTGAATGCAATGACACGTTGTTTTCTATTGTGTGTCATTGAAATGGAGTTTGATTGAAATTGGATGTCACATGTGAGCCTTGGACAGTGCATTGTATCACTGCATCTCTCCGTGTCCTGAGGCCCCACACGCAAACACAAATGGTTCCTTCGGCAGCACATGGGTGTGATGTGGATGAAGATGATGCCTGCCATAAAATAGGAGATCATACGGGGTTTGGCCTGCCATGAAAGAGTAGATCATACGGGGTTTGGATGAGTTAATTATGACTGACCAATCATTGAACCACCGATTATATGATCGAAAGTGATGTGGGCTCAAAAGTAATCAGCTTAAAGCTGAGTGTCAATTTTTGTCGCAGTGTCCCGCCCATGGCCGCAGCCCCCGCTTCTCCCTCTCAACCCGCTGCAAGTCGTGAAACCCAAGCGCAAGTACAGAGCAGAGACCATCGTGACATACTACGTTTCATGTATCAAACCACGGCCAAAGGCCAAGGAAAAAGCTTTCAAGATTGGATGCAGTCGTGGCGACAGTGCAAACAACATTCTGTTGGGGTTGATGCAAATTCAACAGAAGGCACCCTGGCTGCATGTATGATTCTGTTAGCTTATCCAAGGGCTGGGAAGCAAACTTAGTTTGCCTATGTTCCGTTTGTATCAAGCCATGCAAAACCATAACTTTCCGTTCGTCAATGTGAAACAACAATTCATCAATCATTATGACATGACAATTTGATATCGTTTACCCGGCATAACCACTGATCCAAATTTCATTTGAGGTGAGTTCGAGAAGAACAGTCGCACTGGCGAATGGCGCTGGGTGGATAAACGTTGGGAAGATCAATGGCAGTCGTGGTCCTGGAGTTCCAGCAGTGACTGGTATGGGGGGCTACCATGATGCGCCTTGGGGCTCTGGACGTGGAAGCAGCGGCCGTGATGCAGAGGCCGCAAAGTGGCCACGTTTGCGCACGGACATGTCCATGGAGGAGGCAGAAGAATGGGCCAATCAGCTGACGATGAGGGCATCGGCATTGGGTGAGCAAAAGCCAAAGGCAGCGGCGGCGGCACCTCCGGCGGCGGCACCTGGAGAACCACAAAAGGTGGACTTGTCATCGCCGCCGGCCATGTGATGGTGGTGACAATGTACTATAGGGTTCACACCGTGGCTGCGCGCCAATGTGGTAAAAGAATTTGGCGCAAACGTAAGTTTCACCATCAGAATCTAATCTAAATTTGTAAAATTAGACGTACGATGCTTTATCAGAATCAGGTCGTCGAGCCGTCTGTCATTTCAACCTGCTTTGATTTTTCTGTGATTCTGTGTCAGAAGTGTGTGCAACGCCGGTGGGAGGTTTGCAAACCATGTCAGGGTGACTCGGTGACCATGATGTGTAGTATAAATATGTATAAATGCTTCACGAATAATAATGAGTGATGCTGCTGCTGAATGATGCGGATGAATGTTTTTGTTTTTTGTGCATTGCACTGACATCTCAGGCTCAGGGGAAATGCCCATCTCGAAGTTCTCTGTGGACATTGTCAAGGGTTGGACGCGGGCCACGTGCGTAGTGTTCATCATGCTGGCAGTGACGGAGCTGGACCCTAGCGAGGAGTCGACGAAGGCCTTGGTCAAGCCCTTGGAGCGGGTTTTGGACAAAGCTTGGCTGTTGCCCATGCACGCCCCTGGTCCGGAATATGTGGTTTGGGGGTGCTGCGGGCTGGCTGGAAGGGAAGCAATTTTAACATTTTTTTGGTCAGGGGGTTACCGATGGTTCGTGTCTGTGCCATTGTATCTGTCTTAAGGTGGCTATCGGTATGAACAAGGATCAACAATCCTTCAGGAACATGTCCCTCTCCTTCCGTGGCGCTGAGCGTCAAGCCCCATCAGTTCTTCAAATGGCCCTTCGCTTCTCGCAGATCATGGACAGACAAGGCAGCACTACATCTGGCAATACTGAAACTCGGTTGAAGAAGGTCATCAAGCAGTTCAACAGCAGTGAGGGTCTTCACGTTCGTCATCAGATTGATGCAGACAAAGAACGATCCATTCTGAATCTGATTATTGGAACATGCAAGGACATAGAACGGCTTCATGTAGTAGACTGATTGAGCTTTGATAAAGTCATCAGAAATTAGAACTCAATCCTGGTCCAATGCCCAATCACTTATTGGTTGATCATTCCTGGCAGGAGACACGAGACATCATGTCTCAGCATCTTGCCTTTGTCAAATGGCGTGAAAGCGCCCTGAGCACGGACCTGTTGAAGGGTTCGCGATGGTTGTTGGGCGCGCGCCCCAAGGGATTGCCGGAGTGTCTGCAGGACGCGCTCACGGTCACGGCGGAATCCCAGTCAATGCTGATGCAGCTCCATGTGAAGCGCTTCCTACAGGCCACTCGGAGGACGAAGCCTTCTCAACGCGCCCGGGCGCGTGCTTCTCCCGAGGAGTTCGACAAGATGGTGGACTATAGTTGCATGTTTGCATACCTGAGGGAGAGCGCCAAGAAGGCAACATCCGATTCCAAGGTCGATGGCAAGCTGATGGAAGCTTTTTTGGCCAGGCGCCTTGCAATTCAGTATTATTCCTGTCCTGCTTCTCATTCCATGTGACAGTTCACTGCTGATTCAATTTGCATGAATGTTTTGTTGTCAATTCAATTCAATGATGTTCTCATTTAAAACTTGTTGGATATTGTTGGCCTCTTCTTGCGCTTCTTGTGTGTTCTCGCGCACGTGCAGGGACTATTTTCAGGACGTGGAGGCCGTGGTGGCTTCGAAGAACCCCTCCTTTCAGCTCAAGTCGCTCATCGTTTGGACAGATTTGGTGGAACCTCCAACTCTACCCTCTTGCCTGCAGGGAGAAGAATCCACTGACCTCCTGGCAGCCCAGGAGCAAGCAGCCGCTTCGAAATTCAGTGAGATCAAGGTCAAGCTCGCATCTGACTGCAAGGCGATGAACACGTTCAACGCCGAGAAGACGCAGGTTGCTGGGAAGCAACACGTTGCGAAGGTCTTGCACCAGAAGGCTCAGAATGAGGCCGGCGCCAAGTTACTTCACTTCAGCCTTATGACACGTTTTTCTATATAATTTGGAATTTGTCTTTCCCTTGAGCCTATTCATGCGTTATGTCCCTAGCACGTTCAGCCTCCAATTCCTGGTAAGGGTGGTTGAAGAGTTCATGCAGAACCGTTGCTGGATGGGGCTGGTGCCCGAGTGGGCAATGCCAGCGGAAGTGGACACCATGCTCCGGGCGACTGGTGCTCGCAATCAGGCTGGGGTTGGTTTGGCTCAAGGATGTTCAAGGATGTTTTTGGAATTGTTCATTGAGGAAGTGAAGTTTGTTCCCTGCAGGTTACCATGGAGAAGGTCCACGTGGTTGGCTGGGTCGACTTGACCAAGATTGGCATCATCACCCAAAAGGATGTGACCACGGTTGGCCAATGGTGTGAGAAGCTCATTGCAAAGAATCCGCAAAGCCACTTGACTTGACGGCTGAGACCAACCTCACGTCTATATTCAATTGCTTTGAACTAAGACTCAGACTCCGTGGAATTCACTTTTCTTTTGTGCCTTTATGGAAATTCGGGTACCTGTATTGTGATGGCCCTTCCGCTTTTGGCATCAGCCCTTGGATGTGGAGCGCTTCGCACTGATGTTCGGAAACTCGACTTTTCACTTTCCAACCTTTTTGAAACACGTTGTTTGTGCCAGGAGAGTCGAGCTCGAAAGGATTTTACACACAAAAGGTCAGGTCCAGTGTCCTTTCAGCCTCTCGTTGTGATAGCGGATGGCGCCCAAGGAGGCTGGAGGACAAGCTGAATGATCACAAGATCGAGTTTCGCCAGTTCTTTATGCCCTTGGACATCTCTGGATTGCATCACAACCGCTCCATGCCGGGAGGATTTGTCTTCTACCTGTGCGTTGCTGACATGTGCCTACCAAGCCAGGGCACTGCGCACAGAGCCAACAGGGGAGTTGGCAAGGCAATGGGTTCAAAAGAATGCATGAAAACGGAAAACCTACCACGAGTAAAAACACATGATGTTAAGCCAACTGATGGATGTTAAATTAAAGTAACGTAGTTGCTTTCAAAAGAATGCCATCACATCGTCGTCCCAAGGTGGACAAGTCTGATGTCAATGTCTTTTGCTTCTCAAAGCTGTGGCAGAACCAAATGGTGTCTTCCAGCGTTTGTGCTCTCGAGGAGAGTCACTTTGTGATTCCAGGCCAGGGCATTGTGTCCTCCAGTGCAGAAGGCCGCAGGAACTACACCGATGCTCAAGAAACGGCACAATGGCTTGGTGGTGATTCTGTGCCTGAGCACATCCTTGCCGATTTGCTTACAGGCCACTTGGAATTATTCAGTAACGCCCATGAGCAAATTTATGTTTTCAGCGTGTTTCTGTGGCCCGTCTCCGCCCAAGTGTCGCTTACTGTTGCTTTCTCTCGTGCATTAGACTACTACTTTGAGGTGCCAACGGTGAGATTCAGCCCGTGATGGTGGTGAACGCCACCATGTATGACGGATGCTTGGAAAAGACCTGCGTGAAGCATGCTATTCCATGTGTCTCGCAAACGGAGAAGCAGCACCCGTTCACGATGGCCTTGAAGATCACCAAGAGCTATCTCCTAGAGCTTTGGAAAAAGCATGAGGGTGTGATGGAAAACGCTTTGCCTCGCTTCATTGCTGAGCCCAACCCGGAAACGTTGCCATCTGACCCGAAGGAACCGAACTTGTTGCTCTGCTCTTTGGTGGACGGCGCTTTGTGTCTTCCTCGCAATATCAGGGCCGAGTTCCTCACAGATCCAATCCGAAGCCCCGAGTGGCGCAAGATGCTCCAGGAGTTCGACAGGTGCTTTGGCACAGCAGCAGGGAACGCTGCAGAGCCCGAGGCCGAAACTGGGGGTGGCGACAGTGCTGATGCCGGTCCTCAGGGCGCTCCCTTTGACTGGGCAGGCGCCTTTGTTGATGAGCCTCAGGAGACGGAGAAGTGGCACGCCAAGTATGATGCTTTGGTCCATGGCAAGTTCACGTGGTGCCCAGAGTTGACCGCGTACATTGTCAAGGAGTCGGAGGATTCATCTGCGGATGCTGAGGCGCCCAAGAAGTTCAAGCTTTTCATTGAAGCGAATGAGCCTTACACGTTGAATACAACGGATCCATTCTTGACATATGGGGCGGGTGTATGGTTGTTGGACAACAAGGCTGAGACCTTCATCTCTGAAAACTCAGAGCATGGTCACAAAGGCGTTGTCTGCAGCTTCAGCTCTGACTTGGATCCAGTTGTGCTCGAGGAGGGGTGTTTGAAACCATTTTTTTGCCTAGTTGCAATGTTGTTCAACCTCTGGGTCAATGCATGTGTGGCTCATGTGCGCTCAGCTCTATTTTGTGATTGTCAGGAGAACGGTCATGATAGCGATCTGAAGTCACTTCGATGTGTCCTTCAGCAGTGCGAAGCGACCGGGATGGTCGATTTTGAGCTTGGCGGCCATACGTTTTCGAGGCCGGCAGCAGTGGTCCAAGGGTTGTCTGCTGACAAGTTCCTTGCCTTAATAAAATCGTTTCTTTTTAACTTTAAGCCCCTTAGTTTCGTAGTGCTTCGTATTAGTCCACAACAATATGTGTACGATGGTTGGTGTCGCGTATGCACCCGAGGTTTGATGTTTCCATCAAGGCAGGTAGCAGCATGGTCTGGAGGCCCAACAACCTCCAGGTCTCAGGCTTGCGGGCGACCAATGCTGCAAGCTTCTTCTTGTCAAGCTGCTTGGATTCTTCGCCAGCGTTGAAGAAGGCGTGGGGTAGCAAAATCATTCGTGATGCAAAATCATTTTGGTTCCCGCAATTCTCAAAAAACTAAATCAGGTATTATTTAACCATTCGTGAATCTCAGAAACATCCACTATAGTGACACAGGCTTCCCAGCCATTCTACATGTTGGCGCTCTCCCCACCCATTCGAAATGTTTCTGGCTTCCCAGCCATTCTGAATGCTTTTTGGCTTCCCAGCCATTGGCTTCCCAGCCATTCAAATGTTTTTGGCTTCCCAGCCGTTCTAATCATCCCCCTCCCCTCCAGGTTTGGCGAGTGCGGGCGTACAGGCCTCAAAAGACGCTGGGCCCGGCCAAGCCAATGTGGTTCCTTCGCCACACCTTGGACATGGCAAAGGGTACTGTGCAAAGGGTGGTGTGAACTAGCCACTGCAGCATGGCGGGTGTGTGTCTTCGTTCTGCGTTTACTTGTGCTTCATGAAAAAAACAACTTTTGATTGATAGTCTCATCTCTCAATGCTTTGCTTACACATGATCCCGCCATCAGCTAGCATCTTCTAGGGGAGAGTCAGCGGTACTCTCATGGTTTTGACTTCACTTCAACTTCAACCTGCTGGCGTGCTGGGAAGCACACATTTCCCTCGCTCCAGTAGCGTCTCGGCGAACCTTGCGATGAACGAGGAGGAGAAAACCAGAGATTGATTCCTGAAGTGTTCGTCCAACTATTTCTAACTTTAGTGAGTGTCATCATTGACTGGGGAAAGAAGGTTTGGAAAACTAATGTGATGCATTGTCTCACAAAAGGGATTGAGTTGGTTGAAGGTTTTGGTTCAGATTCGCACATCCACGCCTTTCTTTCACTGGCTGGGAAGCCCGTGGAACCTGTGTGGGTTGAAGATGAAGTGGAGTTCACGGAGCCTACGCCTACGGGTGGTCAAGGTTTCCATTCCATCGCTGCGGATGCTGTGGTGCCTATCATGCACGATGTTGCTCCAACATTTGGCTATGGAAGCCGACTTGCACAGCCCGTTGAACCAGTGAGTGAAGAGTTTTTCCAAAGTCCAGAAAACGCCAGGCAGCTCTTTACACCTACACTGCATACAGCTGAGGCCTCAATGGGAGAAATTCATGTTTTTTTAATGGATTATGGTTTGCTTCGTCAATATACCATACATCAACATGACCTAGCTTTCCCTCAGGAGAGGCGCCAAGCATATGATCTCGCTCAGCGAAGTCTCTTTCCCAGTGTGCCAGAACAAGGACATGGCCCGCCCCATGATCCATATGAACGTCGTCCATCTACCGTCTTCATGGGCACAGGGGATGACACCATGGAGGACTCACAGCTTGACCCCACCAAAGAGTCACATTTTGATCCCATCCAGGAGCCGGAACCCATTGAAGAGCCATTGCTAGCTGCATCCTTTCCCCCCTGAACAGTACAATCCAGAGGTGTGGGATGTTAGTCAGGGAGCCTCTGACTCTGTGGTTGGACAGCGTGATCCCACCCATGAGCCGAAGCCCATTGAAGAGCCAAAGCTTGGTCCCATCAATGAGCCAAAGCCCACTGAAGAGCCAAAGCTTGATCCCATCAATGAGCCGAAGCCCACTGAAGAGCCAAAGCTTGATCCCATCAATGAGCCTCGGCCCACTGAAAAGGGGCCGAAGCCAAAGTGTCTTCCCACCAAGAAGCCGACGAAGCCGACGCCCATTGAAGAGGTGGACCAGAAGCCCGAGCTTGATCCCAACGCCCAGTCATCAGAGGCCGGACAAAAGAAACGCAAGTTCTTGAAGGACATGACACCAAACAGCAAAGAACAGGAGATGGAGAGGCGTCGAGAAGCCAACAGGGCAAAGAGCAAGCTTTGGCACCAGAAGTGGTCGAGCAAGGGTGTTCCCAAGGACGCAGAACAAGATGAAGGACAAGATGATCCAGCAACCAACCAGGTTGCGCAGGCTGCTGCTGTTCATGATGATGGCAACGCACAGGGTGATGAGAAGCCTCCCTTTCAGCCAAACCAGGAGTTGATGAACATGGCATTGGATGGTGACATGCGGAAAGTTCGTTCCAAGTTCATTTCCCAATGGCTTGAGTGGCATGCCTCTGATGAATCTCAGTCGGCAGATGCCAAAAAGAAGGCTGAGCTGGCTTGGATGGAAAGTGAGCTTCGTGCTCAAATTCTTGCTGGCCGCAAAGGCAAGATCTACTAACTCCGAACAGTGGAGCGCCAGAGTTGAAAGAATGTGCTTCCGCATCAGTGCCGATGTTACACCCTTATCCCTTCCCCGCAGGCCCAGAGGTTCCCACTTCACTCACTTGATCCCTGACCCTCTGCAGGTGCCGCGCCTGGAGCTGCAGAAGTGAGGCCTTACGCGTGAGGTGAGGCTGGGAAGCCTCTTAGGCTGGGAAGCCTCTTAGGCTGGGAAGCCTCTTAGGGTGATAAGCAAATAGCACAATCTCAAAATGTTCGAAATCCATTGTTCAGCAAATTGTTCACAACATTCTTTTCACAGAGTAGATTCTTAGGACCTGGCGGGCGCCATCATCCGACGCGGCTCCAGAAAGCATGTCTAAAAAAGATGTTGACTGAATGATGTGTCTATATGCTTCCCATGGTTGC